TCTAGGTTATTCTAGTGTTGAACAGGTTGCTTAACTGTGCTTAGACTGCACAGGTAAAGGTTGTACAGATGTTACAGTCAAGGTAAAAAAATCTGTTCTCCACTACCTGTAAAAAACAAGAGTTCATAATTATCAGTTTATAATTATCAACTCAGCCTAAATCTGCTCCCACAAAATACGCCTCTCAGCTTCTCTCACACTTGTCATCTACAGCAATATTAGAAATTATCTAGTGATTCATCTTGAAAGCATTTTTCATGCATGCCCATACTAAAGATTTTTTCCCATCTAAATATTCACATACAAAACACTTTCAACAAAGATGTAGCTGTGAGCTGAACCTGAGTTTGCTCAAATCCATCGTAAAGTGGGCTCGTAAGCCCTTGTTCCAGAGTACACATGTACCTCAGCCCCCATGATTACCCAGCCTGTGGCTAGTTAACATTCCCATTAAAAACTACTAAAAAGATTACTAGCTGTTCTAGCCATCCCATTCTATTAAAAAAAACATCCAACATATAACACAGCTTTTGTCAGTGGTATTACTTATGATACATCTGGTAAAGAAAAAAAATACCTGGAAGTACCAGAGGTGATCAGAACAGCTTGAGGGCTCCACTTAAGCACAGGGTAGAATTTCACAGTCTTAAAGGAGCCAAGAGGGACTGCTTGGGCATGCTCTGCTTTATTCCTAAAACCCACTGCCACTTACAAAGATTGCTGCTCTAGTGCCTTCACATTCTGCACACGGACCTTCCTTCTCACCCCCACACCATGCATCTGAAGCAATAATTAGACCTACAAATGTGCTGGTATTGGACATTCACCTCAGTGCATCAGGCTGTGCACTTGCCCACCACTGCACAAGGAAACAACTGAGAAACACCTGTGCTAAATAACACCAGACTAATCCACTATTAAAAGTCACAGTTTGTGCTCTAGTCTGCAAAGGTTTCTATTGAAGAAAGGTGCTGAGCTGCCAGTGAATCATCACTGGAAAAGATAATCTCAGACCACGACAGCTTAATAAACAACTCTGAAAGGATTTTACAGAGCCCATGTCTCCTATCATGCTTGTATAAGCTGTTTACAACAAGGGGCTAAGAAAGGAATCCTCGGGGAGCCACACAAGGGGGCACATTCTTCCCGGAAGAGTTATGTGATTTTTGAAATTAAGTAATCTGATGTATACATGAATGAGACAATAAACAGTTTTTAGAGAGGAAAATGATTACGCTGGATTCTGAAACTAAGCACAGCAGGCAGCAGGCTTACAGAGAGGTGTTGGAAAGACTCATACCATTTCCTAAAAGGTGATATGCTTAATCCCTCAGAAAGGGAAGATTTAAGTGTTACCATCACTCTGAAATGTAATACCAGATCTCATAGGTACAATGCAAGCATAAACCCTTCTCATGGCTTCATCTGGCACGTGATTTAAGTTACTCTTCCATTCTTAAGGCAAATGCTCAGGAATATACCATGTATTATATATATCACCATAAATCCACCAGAAAGCATTTCCCTTAGCCATGAAAAGAAATCCATACTTGTTGACATGCCACTGCAGTAAAGGCTAGATTATCAGAAATAACATGCCCATCTCTCAAGATTCATCACATTCCTACCAAAGTGAAATGGTTCAGCCCAATGTGCATCATAATGGGGAAAATAATATTAAAAAATACACCAGATTAAAAATTAATCTCTTTGTTAATGTTAAGTGTGGTTCTCTTCACGTGAAACTTGAGAGAAAACATCATGGAACAACTCGGTCTGTTGATCCCTAGGTTAAATCTATAGAATGTATATGGAGTGAAAATATCAGCCGTTAAGTGCTTTCACATTTTTCTCAGATGAAGTCTTTTTGAGGAGGGGAATCATAAAATAATACTTAATAAAAAATAAAACAAAACATACCAACCAGGAGTTTCTTTAGCCACTTCTATGAGCCATATGCAACTGCCCTGTTAAAAAAAAAAAAAATAATACAAGCTGATCAGTTGGAGATGATGATTTTGAAGACTGATGGTCCTTTTTGTGTTTATACATATACTCGATAAACAAAATATGTCCACAGTCCTAGCAGCATGAGGATGCTTCTACAACAAACAAGTCAACAACAACAAAGCCAGATCAGTTGTTTTGTAGCCTCTGGCAATAAGTGCTGTATATTTTTATAAACCTCAGGACCAAACCGTGGCACACTGAACTGCTCTTCAGTGAGAAAGCAAGCATCTTTTTCCCATGTACAACTAACTCACTAACGTCTGTAAGATACAAAATCTATACCACCCAAACATTCCTTCTCACGGGATAAAAATAATAACACCAAAACCAAGCAGGACTGATGAGTAGTGAACAGCAGGTACACAAAACACTCTTAGTCCTCTGGGTTTACCTCACACTCCAGTCTCCCTGGGTCCTTTCTAATTACCCATCCATGCAACATTCATAATTCCCAAAGCAGAGACAAAAAAGTGGAATTAAAATTATTAGCTCGACATGAGAACATGAAAACACATAAACCTGGGCCACCCTAATGCCATTATTTTTTTAAACATCTTGCTAATACAGCGACTGATTCAGAGAAGCATGCTTTCAAACATTCATGGCAGTCAAGTTGCCTCTTACCTAATACAACCCTTTCTCCTTCCTTCCTGCTGCCCGATGTCTTCTCTCCCTCTGTTGTAAGCTGTTCAGCTTCATGGCTCAGAGAATCATACCTTTATTTATACAAGTTGGTGTTTAAAACAACTACCTCACAAGAAAAGTTCAATTAAAAATACTAAAATCAGATCTACAAGATCAGCCATGTGAATATATGCATAAGTAACTCCCCAGTGGTCATTTTAGTAAAGTCTCTATCCCCACACAGGCAAAACAAACTGCAGGAACAAAGCCGTAAGACTCTGGAGCAGCTACTGTGTGACAACTCTTAAATTTGTGATCCCTGCACTAACTTATGAGGAATAACTTGCACGAGGGAGACTCTTCATATAAGATGAAGTAAACAAAATCATGCCCTTTACCTTTTGTATAGATCACCATGCACATGCATAGCGCTATACGGCACTAAAATATTTAGTTTCATTAAAAAACAAATATTGTCACATAGAAGGACAAATTTCCGAGTAAGTCCTTTGCGTTATTAAATCCTATAATAAGATAATATGACGTGTTCTTTCTCCTTTATATTTTTTAAAACCATCTCACATGCTTCAAAACGTGACTAACGAAGGGTAGCTGATTGCCCTGATGTCTGTTGACAGTCATCAAACGCTGTCTGTCCCTCTCCCGCGCCAACCAGCGGCTGTTTCAGGCTGCCCGCCCTCGGCCAGCAACGGACAGAAATAGTTCTACAAAGATGTCACTTGGGACAGCAGTCACTGACATAGCGGGTTGCAGAAACCGGCTTTCTTTTGCATTGAACATCAGCTACGTTTGGGAGAGTCAGCAGGACGGGAGCCACTGCTGCGGGCTCCGGGCCCTCCCCGTGACGGCCGCTGCTCCTTCCCGGCCGGTCCCGGGCCCTCCCGGGCCCCGTTCGCCCCAGCAGGGCCGGACGCCAGGTCCCGGCGGTGCCACCCCGAGCCCTGGGCACGTCGGTTCCCGCGGAGGCCCCACCCCGCGCTCACCGCCGGCCCGGCCGAGCGCCACACCTCCCGTAGCCCCGCTCCCGGGGCCACCTGCCACTATCGCCGGCGGCCCCACTCCCCCGGGCCCGCCGCAGCACCGCCGCCCCGCCGGGCACGGACGGCCCGGCCCCCGCCGCGCTCCGCTGCAGAGCGACCGAGGCCGGGGCGCGGCCCCGCCGGGCGGGCCGAGCGGGAGCAGGGCCCTGAGGGGGCACGCGCGGAGCGCGCGGGGCTGGGCAGGTGCGGGGGCGCCGCGCTGCCCCCTCGGCCCTGGGAACAAGCCACACAGGGCGGTCTCTCTTTTTTTTTGCCTTTTTTACCTTTTTTTTATCCATTCGCAGCCACCCTCGCACCAGTGACGCCTTGAGGCCTCCCTTCCCTCTCTGAACACCCATGAGGCTCCCGCAGGGACGCGGCCGTTCCGCCGCGGGACCGTGCAGCGAGGGAAAGGACAAGAATAAAACCCAATTCCGAAGCGCTTCCCAGTGCCCCTAAGACACCAGTCTGGCCGCTGCCCCGCGGCGTTGCCCCGGCAGAGGGCGGCCAAGGGCAGCGCCGCCGTGCCCGCCGACACCCGCCCCGACGGTGCCGGTGCAGCCGCCAGCGGGCGGGGACGGGGCAGGGACACGGGCGGCTGCTCGGGTGTGCCCGGCACCACCGGCCCTGCCGTCGTGCCTGGGCCGCAACAACGCGCCTTTCGTGGCTGCCGCTTGTCGGGACGGCCCGTGGGTGCCGCCAGCAGCTGCTGTGTAAAATACACGGGCGGAGAGTCGCCCCTCCGCGTGTAAGGTTGCGGAGGTTCCCTTGGGTAGCGCTGCCACTCTGGCACGGAGAGCGGGGTGCTGATCTCCCCCGATGTGCCCGTTCTCCCGGGAATTAGAACACCTGAGAAGGACCCCCAAACGCGGCGCTCCCAGCTCGGCCCGCAACCAGGCGCGCCCGCGTGGGGATGCCGCTCACGGGATGACCGATGTGCAGCCCTTTCCCTGGGGTCGCCGGCCGGTCGGAACACACACGGGAGGCACAGCACGGCAGGAGAAACCGGGCCGAGCCGCAGACCCCAGCGGTCGCCGCTGTGGGTCGGACCGCCCCGTCCGGCCATAGGAGAGGCGGCCCGAGCCGCACGACAGGGACCAGTAAGGTCGCACTCCCGGGAGAATCCCAGTCCCGGGAGGGTCCCAGTCCCCGCGGGCCGGGGGAGCGGCGCGGGCGGGCTCCCCATTGGCCGTTGCTAGGTGACGTGCGCCGCGCCACGTGACGCGCGTTAAATGCCGCGGCGGCGGCGCGCGGCCCGCAGAGCGCTTCCCGCGGGCGCGGCGGGAGCGGCTGCACCGCCCCGGCGGAGCGCGGGCAGCGCCGGGCATGGTGGCGCGGCCCTGAGCGCCTGGCCCCGTGGGGACGGCCCGGCGGCGGCGGCGGCCCGTGCCCCGACGGGCGGGGGCGCGGGATGACCGGGGTGCTGGAGAGTCTGGTGCCGGACATGCACGCCAGCCAGATCTCGGCTGGCGGCTACCACCAGCACGGCGGCCTGCACAAGCCGCAGGAGTCCCCCACGCTGCCCGTCTCCACGGCCACCGACAGCAGCTACTACACCAACCAGCAGCACGGGGCGGCGGGCGGGTCGCCCTACGGCCCCGTGGGCTCCTACCCCTACGCGGGCGGCGGCGGCGCCCCCTACTCTGCCAAGGCCGCCTACGACGTGGGCTACGCGGGCGCCTACGGTTCCTACGGGCCCTACGGGAGCAGGGCCTCTCCGGCCAACAACGACTCTGGTACGTCCGGGCCCCGCGGGGGACACAGCTCGGTGAGCCGCCGGGAGTCCGGCGGTCCCCTCCAGGCCTGGCGTGGGGGCGGTCGGGTCCCGAGAGCTGGGGTGGGCCGGGAGAGCGCTCGTTCTCGGCGGGTCACCCCGACGGGGCGGGCGGTGATGCCGCGCTGCGGGCGGGGCCCGGGACGGCGAGGGCGCCTTCCCTCATCGAGGTCGCCGTTTCTGCCGCAGCAGAGAAGGAAGACTGCGAGCCGGAGATCAGGATCGTGAACGGGAAACCCAAGAAAGTCCGGAAGCCCCGAACCATCTATTCCAGCTTCCAGCTGGCAGCTCTGCAGCGGCGCTTCCAGAAAACCCAGTACCTCGCCCTGCCCGAGAGAGCGGAGCTGGCGGCCTCCCTCGGCCTCACACAGACGCAGGTAGGGTTCTCCCACCGCGGGGTCCCGGGCGCATCTCGCCCCTCCGTGACCGTTCGTCCTCTGAGGGGTCGGATGCAGGTGTAGGTGTGGGAGGGAGACCGGCCCATGGCGCCTCGACGGCCCAGGGGCGGGAGTGCGGGCGAAGCAGTAGCGCAGCCGAGGCAGTGCCGGGACTGCTCGGGGCTGCGAAACTTGCGCGTCCCTGCCCCGCCGCGGGCGACCCGGGCGCCTGGACGGCGCCGCAGAGGCTGCGGACGCCTGACTCCCCCTTTCTCCCCAGGTGAAGATCTGGTTTCAGAACCGCCGCTCCAAGTTCAAGAAGATGTGGAAGAGCGGAGAGATCCCAGCGGAGCCGCCTCCCCGTCGCAGCGCTTCGCCGCCGTCCCCCTCCTCGCCCCCCGCCTGGGACTTTGCTCCGCACCCGCGCACGGCGGGCGGCGCCGGCACCGCCAGTCCCAGCCCCGCCGCCGCCGCCTTCCTCGGTAGCTATTCGTGGTACCCGCCGGCGCCCGGCGGCCCGGCGCACCTGCCGGCGGCCGCTCCCCTCCCGCAGCCGGCACAGCCCCCGCACCACCACGGCGGCGGTAGCATCTTCTAGGCGCTGCAGAGACTTGAGCCCTCGGACCGCGCCCGGCAGCCGCGGGCCACAGAAGTGCAGCACTGGTGTTTTGGTGAAGCCTGTCTCCGGCCATTCTGGCGGAGAGGAACCGCTCCCTCCCCGTTGCCCCGTGTGCGTTCAGCCCCGTGGGTCCGCCCTCCCGCCGCCAAAACAACCACTGCGGAACAAGTACCCGTCTGCTTCCCTTCGTCCTTCTTCGTCCTCTCTCCCGTCATTTTCATCAAGCCACCGGTGCAGAACTCTGGTTAACTTTATTTTTTTATTTTTTTAAAATTGATAGGTGCCTTTGCGGATAACCTCACCTCGATGTTGGGGATTAAAAAATAAAACGATAAAAAAAAAAAGATAAATAATTTTTATATGTAGATTTGAAACAGAAGCCTCACGTGTTTAAGGTATCGTTTTTAGCCGTGAACGAAACCGTCCGGCCCGGGTGAGGGCTGGTCGCAGGCGGCAGTGCCGACGCGGCTCCCGCCCGTGCGCTGCCTCCCAGCGGGTTTCGTGCCCCGACGGGGCTTCCCCGGGATCGGGCGCCGAGCCACGGAGAGCACTCACCTCCACCACCAACCCCGCCGGCAACCTTGCCACTAATCCTGCCCTTGCGCCGTTTGATGTCTAGAATCGGGGGGGGGGGGGGGGAACAACAGGGTATTTTTTGTTATTTATTATGGAAAATTTAAACACTCTTTAATGTTTCTTTTACAATCAGCAGAGATTATTTAAATAAATTATTGTTTCCATGGTGCCCACGCTGAGTTTATTTGAGGAGGGGCGAGGTTGGGGGTGTCGATCCAGACCCTGGAGTTCGCTGCTCCACCCCCTCCCAATTGCAACTGTTGCCGCAAGCGTGCAACTTCCCCCCTTCTTCCCCCTTTTCCCGTCTACAATAAAATCTCGCCCCTGACAGTGTTCTCGGGAAGGCCATGAATCACTCAGCGCTGCCTGCAGCAGCCCCAGAGCCGCCCCCCCCTCTCCCCTCCCCCGCTTGCTGGCGCCAGCGACATTTCACCCGGATCTCCTGCCGTCTCCCGGCTTCGCAGACGGTCCGGAGGGGTTTGGAGCAGGGCCATGTCCGAGGACCTCAGTGCTCCTGGAGCCGGTCCCCGGGCGCAGCCCTGTCCCGGAGACATTTCGGTGTGCCACTCTGGCGGTGGCACCCAGGCCGGCAGCCTGCGTGGGAGCTTTGGTTGAGCCAGAGCTGATGGTTGTCCCCGAGCCGCTCTGTGGCTCTTCGCTGCCTGGAGGCACCTCTCCTAGATGTGCTCCTGGAGGACTGGACCCCCTAGGATGTTCCCCATCGGGGATGCAGCCCCCACAGCCTTCAACCCTCATAACTCCTCTGGGATGTACCCCATGAGGATAGGACCCCTCCAGGCTTAACTCTTTTTTAGGTAGCACGCCCTCCCAGTTGCACCTTTCTGAGATGTATCCCTCGAGATGTGGACCCCTCCCTGATTTAGCCCGCTGGAATGCTCCATTCCATTCCATTGCCTGCACCCCTCTGAGCTGAACCCTCACTTTATGACCTCGGCTGCACCCTTTGGGGCTGCCCCCCCTAGGGATGCCCACCTTCAAGCTGTGCCCTTCCAAGCTGTAACCCTGAGGGGTGCATCCCTTAGGGCTGCATCCCTAGAGATCCTGGTGCTGGAAAAAGCAAAAAGGGATGTTGGGGGGAGGGAGGTGTCTCTGGCCCTTGTCGCTCCGAGGGCCCCACCATCCTTGGAGAAGGCAGCGGGAGAGAGAGCCGTGAGGAAGATCCCACTGCAGACATGTTGATGAAGAGGTCCAGGCTAGCTTGCCCAGGGTAGGGAATGCGCAGCCTGGACGAGACTCTCCCGACAGGCCTTGGCATGAGGAGCTCGGGCGGGGCCGGGGAAGGCGGAGGGGGGCGGCCCCATAGGAGACACGTCGGGAGGAGTGGGGGAGGCGGGAGGGCAGATTGCTCCTGAGAGCCTGGGGAAAGCTTGGGGGCGAGGGGAGGCGGGGGTCGAAGGAGGAGTGAGGAAAAGAGAAGAATGAAGGGGGGGTGTTGGAACTCGGGTGCAGAGGAAGCGAGAGGAGGGAACGGGAGAGACAAAGGGGGAAGGGGCAGCTGCCCTCCGGTCCCGGCTCTGACCCGGCGGCGAGGACGCGGAAGAGCCGCCCCGGGAAACAGCGGGGCCGGCCCATCCCGCATCTCTCCCCTCCTTCACCCTCCCACCGGCCGCGGGGAGACCCGGCGGCAGCGGCCTCAGCCCCGACTCGGGCCGGGGGACAAAGGTTCCCCGCTGGCGTGCGGCGAACCGTCGGGGCGGCGAGCGTGGAGCGGGGCTGTGTCCCCAGCAGCGCGGTGTTTCCGCGGACCCCGGCGGAGGGAGGAAGGGGGGATGTGGGATACACCCCTTTGGCAGGTGACAAGTTTTGCTAAACTGGTCGTCCGAGATGCACGAGGAGATCGTGGGCGCGGGCCGGGACGGAGACCGTTCCCTTCCCATTCCCCGCCTCGTCGTTTTTACAGACGCTTCTCTCAGTCAAATAAAGTTCCCCCCAAACACCTGCGCCCAGCGTCTCCAGTCCGATGCAGCAGTGCGGTGCGGTGTGCTGCCCGGCCCCGAGGGGTTGGACGGGATGCCGACAGCTGCGTGGGGTCCCCGGGACGAGGACTTACCCAGCGGGTGGACGCTCGTCAGCGGTCGGGGAGCAGAGCGCACCGCACCCAGGACGGGGGCTCCCGCGCTTGCTTTCTGCTACTTAGCTATTTAGTATTTTATTATTTATTTATTACTATTTATTTGCTGTCTGCTAGCAGCAGTTCTCTCTGGGCTGTCTGCACCTGGTGTATGCGATGGGTTTTCCGTGTTTCAGCATCCCCGTAGGTCCCTGAGCCCTTCTAGGCTCCTCATTTCACATCCTAAATGCGGTTCACACCGTGCTGGGGTTGGCGACGGCAGGCGGATGCAGCAGCGCGCTGCAGCTCCGCGCGTATCCCAGATGCATACGTATGCATCTGTGTATGTTTGTAACCTGCTTTCTTCTCTTTTCCTGTCCGATAGATGGGACAGGATCTATCCGATAGAGAGAACAGGCACCGCTGAGAACCATGAGCCCTTGCATAAGACACAGTGATGCGGGACTCGGCCGCCCGGGGCCGGGCAGAGTCGCGGGGAGCAGGATAATCGAGGGGCGACAGCTGCCCCGGCCTCCCCGGCGCTCCGGGGAGGGTTGGGGAGCGGGGGATGGAGCCTGGTGGGGGGGCTGGGACGATTCCACCCCACGTCCCAGCGCCGAGGGCCCCCCCCCGTTGTACCCGGGCTTGGCTCCCGGCGGGAGCGGCTGAGCGGGGCCGGTGCCGGGGGGGCGGCCGGGGTAAGTGACAGCTCTGCGGCCAGCCCTGTCCGGGGGGGCGGCCCGGCAGCCACCCGGGCGAGGGGGCACCCTCTGCCTCCCCGGTGCACGGGCGGGGCCGGCCGGGCTTGTACCGTGGGGAGGCAATTTACTCATTTGCCCGGTGAAAAGAGAAAGCACGAGAAATTCAATTAAAGCGGCTCTGGCAAAAGGAGTTATTTGAGGCATGAATGTCTCCCCTAAAGCTGCAGCAATCATGTGGCATTAGACACTTCCGGAATCCTATAGCCAACTTGAAAAATCCCAGACCCCTTTTTTCCCTAATTTTTGCTCTGATCTGTAATTTTATCCACATTTGCACTAGTTTGAGCATTCTGGCTCTCCCATCTGAAAGCCTGCAATTACTATATAATTCTTCGCAATTTCACATGTCCTAATATGGACTGTAATTTTTGCGCAAGACAATTTCCTGCTATTTCAAGCATCAACATTGTCAAAGTTGTATGTACATAATAAATGGGAATATCAATGCATAGTTTTTAGCATAACATCTTGACTCCTCGATAATTATATCCGTTCGGAGCCTACGCAGAATTAGCCTGAATTGCATGGTAACTGCTGCTGCTTTAAAATTTTTAAAAATTACTCATAATTTTCCCAAAGATTACCAAGATCTCGAGTGCACAATGTCATCAGCGTAATGAAGAGTAAACATTTATGCTAATAATCTGCAATTTTTTTCATCAGCTATAAAGACAGAGGCTATATAGCAGAAAATTTCAGTCATATTCTGCAAGAGCAGAGCTGCAAAAAGGCTGCTGCGCTCAGAGGCATGTGCATCTCTGGGGGATCTCAATCCACATTTGCACTCTCAGGATATTATTATTGTGCTCGGCTTCAATTTTTTTTTTTTTTTCGCTTTCTTTCTCCCTCCCCTATCCTCTACCTCTCTCACACACTCACTCGCTCCTCTAACTTTCGTAGCAAAAAGCCGCGTTCGGTCCTTTGGTTTGTTGTAAAGCAAAGACTTGTGCCCAGAGCCTCAGGGACTGAGGCGGAAGGTAAGGGTGGCGACACAGGCTCCTTTCTCGCGGGGGTAGGTGAGTGCACGGGGCGCGACGTGGATGGATGCCCCGCGCGGGCCGCGAGAGGGGGAAGAACCGGCGGCGGCTCCGCCGGCCCAGTCTCCCTGGAAAACTTCCCGCCGGCGACACCACGGCGAGGAAAGGGAGCGGGGACGGCGTGCCGGGCGGCGGGGCTGCCGCGCAGAGCCCAGCCGAGGATCCCGGGGGCCGAGCCGCGCCAGCCGCGGAGCCAGCGCGGCCAGAGCGGCGCGGGGGCGGCGGGGGGGACACTCCCGGCCGGGGCCGCCGTGGGGCCGGGGGCTGCCGGCGCCGGGGAGCGCTCGCTTTCGGCGGTGGTTTTGTGGTGCGCGTTTGTCGGTTCCTTGCGGAGGGGCGCGTTACTGTCCGCTCCCCAGCCGTGAGCTGGGAGGGGAAGGCGCCGACGCGGGGAGGACATGGCACTTTTGCACGGGCATGAGACCGGTGGTGGCGGCGGGAGCGGGACAGGTGGGCGGCGGCGGGAAGAGCGGAACGACCGTCGACGGCGATTTCTTATCCCCCTTTGTCAAACGAAGGGAGAAAATTCCGAATGCAAACGGGCTCTGATATTTGATTTTTTTTCTAGTTTCAGGGGCCGCTCTGTGCTCTGCAATTAGATTGACACATGTACAACATCCCCAGCCATTGAAGGGGGTTCGCAGGGACACTCCAAGGGGATTTTTTTTCCTTTTTCTTTTTGGGTGGAAGATATTAAAGAGGTATCTGTTGTTTGGCAATTTTGCTAAGTCTGTCTTCATTACTTCAACATTGTGCATTTGCTAATTTGGAAGCCCCTTCCTATTGACAGCTCTGCTCCATACACCTGCAAGCAATTTGCAGAGCTCCAATATAGGAGAATTGCAGAGATGGCAGCTCGCACCTATTTTATTTTTTTTTTCTTCGCTTTTCTCAATGCACAGCAAATTTGGCTTTCAGTGCGTTATCTCTTTTGTTAATGCAAAAAGATTCCCTGGGCGAAAAAATTGCTCATAATTACCAGAGAGATGGGGAAACTGCATTAGAATAAATAAACCTGAAATTACTGTAATTATGTTGTGTTTGATGGGCTCGGCTTGTAATCAAGAAGAGAATACAGTGAAATGATGCTGACCCTCTTGGGTTTGCAGCTGTACGCGCACTTTGGGGTCTTTTTTTGCAGAAAAGAGTCATTTTGATCATCATTAAGCTGTGTGTAACCTATTTCAGAAGTGTTTGAAAATGAGGGGCACTTTTTTTTTTTTTCCCCAACAAGGAAAAAATATATCCCAAAATTACATTTTGCCATTTACAGGCTCATCCATAAGGTTGTGTTTGCCGGGTGACAATTGGTAAAGGTATAATATTCGAAATCAGGACTTAATCATTGTAATGAGGTATTGTTTCAATATAAGCACCTTTGGATTATTCATAGTTTAATTAATATCCTCATTATGAAAATCTTCGAATCAGATATTTGATGAACTACTTGTCAGCAACAAAGCAGAATTAATTAGGCCTGTATTGAGATTAACATTTTCAAATGTACAATTATAATAGCCTCTAACTCAAGACCGCCTCGCTGAGAGAAAACTAATAATTTCTCTATTTGAACTGTTAGCAAGACGTTATTGAATTAGGAGAAGCTAATATATCTTTAAAGTGCTCCAAGCTGCTTGACCACCCCGTTCCTGTCCGGTTAAAGGCATTTGTGGTCTCGGGCTGAGCTGCCGCGGGAACTGCGCGGATCCTGGGGCGCTGCGGGGACGCGGAGCCTTCCGGCTCCACTGAGGGCTTCAGGCCGATCGGGTCCGGGCTCGGGTCGTGGCACCGCGGGAAATGCAAAGATGGGGAGCGTTGCCCAGGTCGGATTCAACATCCAGCGCGCCACTGCGCCCCGTGTGCGCGCCGGGGCGGGTGCTGCGCTGCCGCATCAGCTGCGTCCCGGCCCCGCGAAGTGGGGAGTGGGTGCGTCTCTCGGGGTGGGCGAGCATGGCCGGTGGGGCTGCACGGGGGATCCGCCGCGGAACCTGCGCGCAGAGACTCGCACGGCCAGCCCGCCAAGCCCCGCCGCTCCCGGTTCCCTTCGCTCTGCAGCGCTTTGCTGACCCCAATAGTGGCCCGGGCTGAGCCCGGCGCGGGGTGAGCGCGGCCGCACCGGCACGGCCTCGCCGCCGACGGGATGCGCGGGTAGGCAGCCGGCTCGGCTGTCGGGACGGGGGCCGGGGCTGTCCTGGCCTGTCCACATCCCTCTCCCGTCCCAGGAACTGTTCCCGGATCCCTCTCGGCCCGGAGCGACTCCCTGGCTGAGGGTCCCGCGGCCCATCGCGGCAGCCGCCGCCGTCTGACTGGGTCTGGCGGGGCGCAGGGGGACACGCTGCCCTGTCCTGTGTGTCAGCTCCGGTTTACGGCCACCACCGTCCTGCCGCGGAGCGCGGAGCCTGGCCCGGGTCCCGCTCCTGGCCGCGCTGGTAGACAGGGAGCACGCGTGTCTCTTTTTCCAAACCATAATTTTACTGTCTCAAAGAAACTTTATAACTTATGTACAAAGATTTTGTGTGGGTTTTTTCCATTTCCTCCCCCAGATACAAAGCAATAAGTTAACATTCTCAATATAAAACTAAACTTTGACATATAGAACACTAAACACTGCCGAGCTCAGTTTATCACATCTTCCGACTTTCACAAGTAAAATGTCAAGATCTCAGTACACAAAGCATCATGTTTTACAGCCACACGAAACAGAACGGAAATAATAATTAAAAAAGGCTAAATTTGTGCAACATGTTTACAGAACAATAATAATAATAATAATTAAGAATAAAATATGTACAGCGAGTAGCTCCTGCACGTCGGTTTGTGCATTTCGACTTTGGGCCGGCTTTGCGCGGGGAGGCCGCGCCGGGACTGCGCGGGTGCGCCCGCCCGCTCTCCCGGCGGGTCCCCCCCGTCGCCGCCGCCCTCGGGGCTCTCGTTCCGTCCTCCGCGCCTTGCTTCACCTCAGCAAAGCGCTCGGCAGCTGCTGCGATTCAACTTCAGAGTACCAAACAATGTGCATTTATTTCCTTTGTTAAATACGCGAGAAATGCAAATCATTCGGACCAAACCTCTCCACACCAGCGAAGTATAAAAGTTATTGTCAAAGTTAAAATCGCATCCTTCCCTCGTGGTGATTTATTCGAGGAGGGGCGGGGGGAACGGGACGACGGACCGTCTGTGATTTTGTTTAAACTGTGCGTCCGAGCAGTGCACTCAGCAAACTGAGTTTGTTTCTAGCACTCTCATAGTGGTAATTTAAATCAATAAATAAAACCCCTGTCTTCCCCTTTTAACAACAACAAAAAAATATACAGATGGATAGTGAAAGGTACAGAAAATGTCTAGGGAAAGAAGCTCCGGTAAATTGTACAGCTTCCTTTCCCCTTGTAATTGAAGAGACAGTCAGATCGGGGTAGTAAATAAATGACCTACATTTCAACAGACACAGACAGACAGACAGGACAGAGGAGAGGGCTTCCCCCCCAAAAAAACACATCTTTTTCTGATTGTCCCACAAAGCCGCGGCCGGCGCTCGCTCTGCTCCCAGGCTGTTGTGCGGTGCTCGGGGCCGCTCCGTCAGCTGTCAGCGGTGGGAACCGGCCCGCATCACATCTGTGCTCTCCTGCACCGAGCTACCGTGCAGCGTCCTAATGGCTGGATGGGCAAGAGACCTCCTGTTTGTTTGTTTGCTTGGATTTCTTTTGTGGTTTTTTTTTTTCGTCTCTCTCTCTCTCTCTTCCCCCCTCTTTTAGATTTTTTTTCCCCCTTTCCTTTTATTTTACTTAATTATTTTTTTCCGTGATAATTTAAATTCTTTTTGGGACGGATAGTGCTTGCATTAGGGGAAAACGTATTTATAATCACATGAGTTGCGGCTGCTGCATAGCTTCTTGGTGGGCTGAAGGATACCACGACGTGTAGCTGGGGATGTAGGTGCCCGGGGTCCCCGACGAGGCCTTACCGGAGGCGGAGGTGGTATTCCACACTGGGGGCACGGGTGGCGAGCTGCCCGAGAGAGCCCTGCCGTTGGTCAAGGCGCTGCTCTCCAGGGTGGCTCCTCCTTGCTTCATCAGCTTCTTGAATTTGGAACGCTTGTTCTGAAACCAAATCTTCACCTGTGAACGGCAACGGGGCAGGGCTCAGCATGCCTCGGTACGGTCCAGCATTCCCCCACCCTCCCGGATCCCACGGATCCCCGCACCCAGAGGCCCCGCAGCTTCTCTCCCTTATTCCCCCCGTGGCTGTTGTGTTATTTTGTGATGGCAAACCACCCAATAAGACCCCCCCCCCCGCCAAGCCCAGCGGGCCCCGCGGGGGCCTCTGCGCACCGGGTGCGCCTCCGCGGCGGGACGGGCGTCGCGCCGGGCCCCGTCGCCCGCGGCTGTGACCCGTCTGCATTAGGCGTGGGGTCTCCCACGCCGGCTGTGGGGACAGGGAGGGGACACGGGAGAGGACCTGGCTTAGTCGGCGCTGTACCTGGGTCTGGGTGAGTCCCAGAGATGCTGCGAGCTCGGCTCTTTCAGGGAGAGCCAGGTACTGGGTCTGCTGGAACCTCCTGTTCAAAGCCTGTAGCTGCAAACTGGAGTAAATAGTCCTGGGTTTGCGAATTTTTTTCCCTTTCCCATTAAAGCGAACTTCCCCTCCTTCTACCACAGTGCTTTTCTCCGATTCGGCCCCTATGAACAACAAACGATGCAGAATAAATAATAATAATAGCAGCAATAGCAATAATAGCAGTAAAAGTAATAGCAGCAGCAGTAACAATAACAGCAACAACATCAACAATAACAATAATGAGAAGGAAGAAAAGTGAAGCTCGAGTAACGCTAACAAAGGCTCCGGGCGATTATGGCAGCCCAGGCTTCTTCCCAGAGAAAGTTTGCTATTTTTACAGGCTGCAGTTTAGGTTTAATTACCCTTAATTGCATACATTGTTTATAGCACTACGCAATAAATAATTACGAAGACTAATACGTGCACATCTGGGTTGGTTTCTTTTCCAGCCAGGCATTGTGTACTCTGTGTATTGGTCCCCTGTGATCCTCAGCTTCTCTTGACTAATATTTTGCAATTTAATTTAATTTTTTTCCCCCGATAGATTTTTTTTTTTTTAATACAAGCACCCTCCCTCCCTCCTTGCCTTCCCTCCCCCCTTCCCCCCTCCCCAAAGCCGAGTGCACCTACCTGTCTCCTCTAACCGGGTCTGAGTCAGGCTGGAGCTGTTGGGGTAGGACTGCACTGAACTGATGTAGGGGTTGGTCGAGTGGCTGCTGACCGAGTTCACATAGGGGTAGCCCAGCGGTCGGGAGAAGGACGAAGCTGTGCTGTACGAGCTGTCAGGCTGAGAGTGGCCCGCGGAGTGTAAACAGTGCATGGAATAGTGTCCGTGGGACATGGGAGAAGGAGACATTTGCTGGCTGGGCGGCCCAAACTCCATAAAGACAGCCTTCCCTGAGACGGGGCTATTTAGACTCTCTGGCATGGTGGTCATGGTCATTTCTTGTCGCTTGGTCTGTGTGTGTGTTCTCTCTTCAGCTTGCCTTTTTGGGGTCTGTTGTGTTTCTCAGGACAGGAAAGAACCCAATTTAAGCGGAACAGGGTTTTTCACTTTCCATTCATAAGAAAATGGAGTTTGTCTCTTTGAAAAGTCTAAGCATGATGCTGTAGATCTACACAAACTCGCCTAAAAGCTTTGACTCAGCCAAGCCTATGAATATTCATGAGACGGCGGAGCTGATTGGTCCGCCGTCTTGCATAATCGCTTTGGATTGGTCCCTGGCGCTCGGGGCTCGCCCGGACCGCGGTGAGCGCGGAGCTGGCGGCGCGTCCCCGAGAGCGGCCGCCCGACGGCACCGAGCCCCGCGCCGGCCCGGTCCGGGACAACGAGTCGTCAGGGACCCGCTCCATCGCCGGCCGTCCGCTCCCGGCCGCCCGCGACCGGAGGCGCCGGTCTGGATCTCGGCGGAAGGCAGCGCAACCCCTCCGCTCTTCCCGGCTCCTCGCCGCGCAGGCGGCGCCGAGGGGCAGCGGCCGCGCTCCGCCGGTGCCGCCGGGCTGCGGGGGTTCCGCCGCTCCCGCCCCGCTCCGCTACGGCGGGACCCGCGGACAAAGAGAGCGGGCTCCGGCTGGCCGGCCGGCCGCGCTCCGCAGGCGCGCAGGGGCTTCTCGGCCTCGGCCCGCTGGTCCCAGCGCCGCCCTTGCCTCCGGATCGTGCCGCCCGGCTCCTGCCGTTATTGTTTTAAAGGGAAAAAAACAATCTAAAAAAAAAAAAAATCGCCCTAAAATGGGCCAACGGCGAGTTTGAGCTTAAAATGAAAACTTCCGCACGTGTGAGAGGTAAATGAGGTGGGACTTGGGAGATCCTCCCCAGAAAGCCCACGATGAATCCCAAATTACTTTGCTAGATAATTAGAAAGTGTTGATAATTATTTCTTTCATAATTCTGCGGTGTGACTGTAACAGGAAAATGATCTTGTGAAAGTTCACACGTGCAGATGTATTAGTTACTGATTCATTTGATTAAATGCTAGTCTCAAGTGCTCTGATCCACAGCTGAAGGCGGCCCCATTAGCATAACACTGATGTTTAATTTTCATACGCATAATTAGCCATATATTTAACACTAATAGCAACATGCAGCCTTCCAGCATTAAACAGCCTGGGATTTGATCTGGCCTGGGCTGAACTTTCCCGGTTACACCTAGGCTGTCTAGGGTGCGCAGTTATCACGGCACCACATCTATGTAATCAAGCACATTTTGGCAAAGGGAGAACACCAATAAAAGTGAACATTTAAAACAAATCGCGGCGTTGATGTCGTTAGAAGTATTAGCGCCGGCAGCGGAGCTGGGGCACCCCCGGCAGCGTCCGCACGGTGTTCAGACTCCTCTGGGCAGCGACGGTCCGTGAAGTAGCCGGCTCCTGAACTGCAGAGCTGGCACAACCGAGACCCTCTGCTCCTGTCCCCCCCCTCCACCTTTTCATTAGCGGCTCTGTCGGTTTTAATTGCTCGTCTCCTAATGCCTCTTTTACTTCCTCTTTCCCTCCATTTTTCTTTTTGGTTTGCGCGCGATACGCAAAGTTCATTCTCACAAACTCCCCGAGGCTTGGCGCGGAACGGGCAGTGGCAGTGTGTCCCCACACGCACGGTGTCCCCTGGCAGCCGACTCTGCCCCCCGGCCATGTAAGTGACCCCCCGAGGCGGTTTTGGGCGCTTGCCCGCAGAGGGGACGGGGTGCTCCGGCAGCTCCGGCACCTTCGTCGGCCTCAGCCCGACGGCTCCAGGGAGGGGAGGCTGATCTGTGCCCGCAGGGTCCGCCGTTACCTCCTCTGGCCGACCAAGCGCAGGCAGTCCCAAGTCGAGCCACAGTTCCGCCGGCCCCGCCAAAACCCCGCGGACCGGTCGGTGGGGCTCTGCTAATATCCACGCTCCTGAGCGGGGCCGCTGCCTCTCCGCACATCGCCGGCCCCGGGCAGCGCGGCTTCGGCGGGCGCGGAGGGGCCAAGGGATGCCCCTGACCCGCGATTGCCACGTCGGGGTTCTCATCGTGTTGGCCTGGCAAGACCTCCTGCGTGACGGCTTTGTGCGAGGCGCTGGCTGTCCCCGCACAGCCGACACATCTCTTTAGTCTTGTTCATAATTAGGATTACAAACGTGTGCCATCAATGCCTCCGCCTGGCCTCCACTGCTCTGCAGCGGATGGTAAAACCTGCAGTCCCCCCAGAGTTACCTAAAGGACTTAGGGGTGAACAGCGATTACCAGGAGCTGCCAGCAGTCCCCTTATGCCGGGCTGAAGGAGGTTCCCTACTCCCGGCTGCCCCGCTCCCGTCTCACCCCACACCGCGATAAGCGCAGGACAAGAGGCAGAGGGGCAGACGATGGTGAGAAGCTTGGCACTTCTGGATGCGGTGCCATCCAGGTGCTCCCAGCGTGGCCAAAATCCACGGGAGACGCCCCTGGAGCGCCTCCGGGATGCACAGGACACCCATCCGTCCCCAGTGCCCCTCAGAGGGGGCAATGCAATGCGACTCGGGCGACAGAATGTAAGGGAACAAAACACATCCCCCTCCGGGCAGTGCTGAGAGTTGCTCGTGCTATTTAATTTCTGTGTATTTGTAAACTTGGCTGCAATGTTTCATGCTCCTCTTGGGGAGGACAACGCTGAGCGGCTGCCCTGCGGTGTTAGCCGTGTTCAGGGAGGGGGGTCCCTGCTTTTTGAAACGATGCTGTTAGAAACTATTAGAGCTGAGAGCTCCCTGTACTTGAGTGAAAGCAAACAGCCGTGTAAAGCTGTAAGAAAGAGGCTTACTTCTTCCTGGGACCACTGAGGGAGCCGGTGGTGAGCTTCCCTGGTTGCCTGAATGTGCACCCGGCCAGCCCTCAGCACAGGACCGCATCCCCCTGCAATGGGGAACAAATTATCTGTACCAAACTGCACTGCTGCTGCCTTGGGGAACTTCTGGAAGTCATTTATCTCCAAGGCTACCCTGCATTTCATAGGACCAGGTCCTGCTCTCAGAGCCTCCAAGTTCCAGTGCCAGACCCATCTGGCCTGATAGGATGGTCAGCAACTGGCTAAATTGCAAATCAAATCCTGCACTCCCGCAGGCCCAGGACAGGACCACAGAGAGCATGGGGTTGAGAGAGACCCACATCTCCTCTGTTTCCATAAGATGCTTAAACTGTAGAGTGCCTTTCCCTTAACTAATGTGGGCACCGCAGAGCAGTGATTACCCCAAACCGGCTAATTCTTCAAGCAGGGCAATTATTGATCCCCAGAGAGGCATGCTTCGCATCTCATTTTTAATCATTTTTTGTGCTATGTAAAAAGAGGCAAGAAGGGGGGGGATTGCTGCTGGGAAGGATGCGGGGAAGAGGCTGCTGCCTCTGCCTGACACTCTTCCGAAACTTTTTTCCATCCTAGCAGAAGTTACAGCCTGAGAAACAGCACTGTGCTAATCGCAGTGAAGACAAATTGACTCCACAGCTCAGCTATAAAGGGAAATTACTATCTTTCTCTGTCCTCTCAGCTGCACAAAGACTGTGTCATCTGATACCTGTTTGTCCCATATAGGATTTGGAAGAGAGAGGACCCCCTCTCTGTCCCTCACTCCAAATAACCCAAACTTTTACACTTGTAGACTGTGCATGGCTGCTGCAAGGGTCACAAACAAGTCAAGGGACTTTTATTACTCACCAGGTAACACACAGAAAGGACTGTGTCCAGAGCCGATCCCTCAAGCTGCTTTTTCTGTCCCCTGCAGTGACTTACACAACACCCACACCCCAGAGAAATTACAGAAATCTCTTCTCTGTACTGAGTGAAACTGGAAAACCCAGAAGTACAGCAAGTCCCTCCATTCCTTGTTCCATCTTTAGGTTTCTTCCACCAGTCTAGTGAGGATTTCTGCTCCTTCTGAGGTAATCACAATGGTATGTTCAAATTGTGCTGATCTGAAATGCACATTTAGCAGTTATTACGGGGCAAATGCATCCACCATACATGAAAACTCATCTGTTTGGGCTTTTTTGTCTGTCAGTGATGAGTTCCACGGCTAAGGAAATAACAAAAAATAAAATCAGGCACCTTTTATTGTCTACAGAAATTGCCGTCCATTTATCCTTCAGAATCTTAAATTCGGGGGATCCTTCCATTATTATTGGCTCTGCAGCAAGAAAAACAAAATGTATTCTGAAGTTGGTTGCACTCCTGTGTGGATTGTGAAACAAGCAAGAAGGGGGGGATGTCCCAGCAGTTAGCTCCCCTTCCACACAGGTCATGTCCTTCCTAGGCTGACACTCTCTTGTCACAATGAAATGTGAATTAAAAAGGAAGACGAAATATCAAGGTAGGAAGTTGCCCGTTCCCTTTGTAAAAGCAGGGAATTTTAATCAAGCTTTAATTAAGACCCCGTGGATAATAACCAAAGCACCAACCACATTTATAAACAGCAGATAGTTTTAAATATTTGAATTTTTAAAACAGGCTTAAAATGTTCATTAAATCAGCAAAACAACAATTTTCTTATTTCCCTCTAATTGCTGTGCCATTTAGCCACACAGTGAGAAAGAGCGTTTTTCCCCCAGCATCTTTCCACGACTGGAAGTGAGCACCATCAGTCTGCGGGGCAAGGCTCCGGCTGGTTACCACTGCCGTCCCCAAACCCAACAGCAGCTCTGGCAGGCAGTGAATGACTAAGTGCCACCAGGCTGCTCGGCTTCAGGGACATGATCACATCCTTCTCACCCTCCTCAATCCAAGTGTGCTGGTAGAGTCTTTTCCTCACCAAAAATATGCATCAAGTATTAGTAAGACTTGTAAAAAACATTTAATTTTTTAAATCTTGCAATTTGAAAGCCGTTTCACCCACATGGTCCCTTAGTTATAATTTAAAAAAAATTATATTTTAATCTGCTTCCTAAGGGGTCAGTGTCACCGACATCCTCCTGTCTGCATAGCTATTTCTATATCCTAATAAAGAAATTTAACGGATCTGGGCAGCTCCCGGTTTAATAGAAAACCACAGCAGAGAGTTACTAACCTATTGTGAACGCCATCCCCTCTTCCATTAACAAATCGCTGTCATTGGCTAAAAAAGAAAATAAAAACGTGTTTATGGATCTTGATTCTCTCTTTTTTTTTTTTTTTTTTTTTTTTTTTTTTTTTTTTTTTTTTTTTTTTTTTTTTTTTTTTTTTTTTTTTTTTTTTTTTTTTTTTTTTTACTTTTAATAGAAAACGCAACCAGCACTTTGTTTAAACCCCCTTTTGGTTCGCAGGCACTGTGCACTCCGGGCCCTGCTATGAGGCCGGAGCACCCGCCGAAAGCGATCCCACCCCGGCCGCAACGGGACCTCCTCGACGGCGGCTCCGTCCGGGCCGGGGGCTGTGACATTTCAGCAGACACTTTCCTTTGCCCCGTGACAAACTTTGCGGGCGTGGTTCGGGCGCGGGCGGGATGCGGGGCAGCGGGATACGGCGGCTGCCGCCCGGAGCGGGGCGGGGAAGGCGGTCCGCGGGGCTCGGCTGCCCCGACAACTCCGTTAATGAACGATTTGTCATCAAAAATACTTTCGGTAAACAAGGCAGGGGATGCCCTCCAGCTTCCCAGCGAGGAAAGCTCCCCCCCGGCAATCCCCCGCCCCGCTGAGCCGGCAGAGTGCGCGGGTTTGTGGGGGCTCTGCTCCTTTTACCGCCCTCCCTCTCCCCTCCCGGAGTCCCCTCGCCGCCGGCGGCGGAGCGGCGCGGGGGGAGGCGGGTCCGGCCGCGGGGGCCGCTTACCGTGGTGCCACACCTCGGGGTGCCCGTGGAAGTACGACCCGATGCCGTGGCCGACGAAGAAGGGGCAGACCTGGAAGCCACCTCGCCGCGCCACTGAGCTGCGGGGGCAAAGAGGACAGACACGGTGAGGGTGCGTGCCCCGACCACCCACCACCTCTGCTAGACGGCCCCAGCCCTCGCCACCGCATTGCCACCGACACTGGGTCACCACTGCACACCCGCTCCGAAAGACAGCAGCCACTGGGGCGAGTACCCGTGAGCCACCGTTAGGTTTCTGAGTTAACAGTCCTGGTATAGAGGCTGGTAGCAGAGGCTGGTAGCTCCTGTGCCAGCCCTGCTGTCTATGCAAGACGGCACCATGTTGTCTTCCTGTCTTATGGAGGGTAACCTTTTCCATAAGCACACTGGGAACTAATTTTAACATGGCACAGCACAGCTAAAGTTGCCAAGTTGGGCAGCCAAGGGCCCAGCACACCACCAAACCGCAGCCTCTACCGAGCCCTTCTGAGGTGCAGACCCAGTGCTTGCACTGTGTTTCCTGAGGAGAGGAGGCTCTTGCTGCCAACAGAGAGAATTAAGAGCCCTACAGCTTCGTTTTACAATACTGCAAACATTCAGTATGAAAATGTATTGAAAGTCCAAAAATATGTTCACACTAAATAACAATGTGTTGCTAATGAACTTATCTTACAGTGTTTCAGTTCTGCCTGGGAGATCTGCCCTGCCTGTCATGGTCTGCCTCAGGAAGGAGCATCTCTGAGAGCTGCCTGCAGGGCCATGGC